GCCGGGGAGCGGGCTGTGCGTCTTCAGGGAAGGGGGGGAACAGCGCTGTGGGCCGGGGAAAGCTGAGCCCGTGCACGGTGAGCCAGGCGCGGGGCGAAGGGCTGCAGGCTGTCCTGGAATCTGCTCGGGCAGAGCCTCCTCCCGGGCTCCTGCTGCCTGCGGCGCTCTGCCCGCTTTGCAGCACCGGCTCTCGGTGTCAGCCGGTCGTGTTGGCTTTGCCCGTTCTGCCGGACTGCAGCTGCGGTGAAGTCCCTTTGACTCGGGGGTCACGGTTACCTTTGTATCACTTTATCCTTATCTTGTTTATTCTGAAATTTTGTAATCCTTAGATGAACTTCATGTCACAAAGTTAAAAATTGGGTGGGTTTGTGTTGTTGGTATACCCTAAATTTCACCTGTAGTGATGAGGTGATACTTCTCTGTCCGCAGCTGAGGCTTGAGACACAGTTCTCAATAGAGGGTATTCAACATGTGTTTCTGTGGGTTGTTTTCCAGGCTTTTCCTAACGTCCTTGGCTCTTCTCTGATGTTCGCAGGTCTTTTCTCAGTCTGTTGGAAGGAAGGGACTGCTGTACCAGTGTTGGGGAAGGAATGCAGGGTCTTTAAAAGCAGTGTTTCCAATGCTAGTTTTCAAGCTCTTTTTTGTATGCCTGTATTGGTAATATTTCAAGGCCATTGAATCTGCCTAAACCTGCACTCAAGATGTAGGTTAGGCAGGAAATGAACTACTTGGCCCAATGCTTGCTACACAGCTAATTTCCAGCTTTTCAAGGAAAGAGGAACTTGTGATGTGCTTTTTATGATCTGCTTCTCCTCCAGGCTTCTTCAGTGTTTTTTGTTCCTCAAAAAATTAACTCAATATCCTTTTTTTTTTTTTTTTTCCTTTTCTCTAGTTTGTGGCACTGCAGAAGATGCTGCATTGTAGGTGTGCAGGCTCCTGACGTGCTCTTTCTTCTCTCTTTCCTTATGTATTTTGCTTATCAGTAAAAATAGTGAATGGCATTAGTATTTATTGTTCTCTCTGGATGTTTGAGAAGAACGAGGCAGCTAGGACTTCTGAACAATAGTTCCAAGCTTTTTGCAAGCTTGGACAGGGAACACTGTATGCCTTCAGTTTGATTCATATTTTAGATATTATCTTTAGTGATGGGAGCTGGAGTCTTAAAACTGAGTGAAGGTTAAAATGGCAGGCTTGTCCTTATTTGCCTTTAAATTCTGCATCATTGACCTGTTGCAAACTGGCTCAGCTTGAAGCCAGCTGAAGGCATTTTGACAAGCCATCCTTATGCTTATTTTATGATATACACTAATCTTGAGTTTTATCAAGAATATTTGTAGGAACTTTTGCTTTTCTCTTCCTGCACTTCTCATTAACACTTGCCCTGTTCCTGTGACGCTGCTCTTTGTAATGCTGAGAGTATAAAGGTAAAGTGAACAAAGAAACAGAGACCTGAAATGAAAGTAGGGGTGACAGAGTGTCTGATGCCAATGGGTGTTTCTTGGAGAAGATGCTTTTCCTGTAAGGTAGTTCCTGTTCTGTCACCTAGGAGTAGGGACAGAAATCTCCTTGAGGTAATGCTCCTAACACCCACTTCTGTGATTGGAGGAGTGTACAAGGTATGTGAAGGGAGGAAGAAACTGTGCAGGTTGCATAAAGCAGCTGCAAACACCACCTTGCTAATCTTGGCTGAAGAAGCTGGGACTCCCCTGTTATCCCCAAAGCTCTGAAAAACCTTGGACTTGAATCAGCTGCTAGTGACTTCTTTCCCAGGCCCTTTTCTCTTGCTGCTAAATGTCCAATCCTGATGATAGAATTTGAGACTACTTTTTTTTGGTGTTTTATTCTTTTTGCCTCTCAATTAAAATTTACCAGTTTCTCTGTTGGTCATCTGCTCACTTGGCAGCCTGAAAAGGCTGATCTCGGTGCTCCTCTTGTTTCTCACTGTCATTTCAAAGGGTCTTCTGGAGTTCTACATCTTTAACACACCAATTTATGGTTTCTTTGATTCATTCTTAGTTTATGAGGAATTGCCTGTACATCCACACTGTGCCATAGTGAATAAGGGTTTTCTCACCAAATCTAACTTTGTGCAAATTGATCCTGTAACTGAAGCAAAAAAAGTGTGGGCAAGGGTATTTCTAGATGCTCTTTCTGCAACTGAGCCACATACTTGGGGCTGGTTTGCACAGTTTTGACTGGCTAAACCACTTCAGAAACATTTGGTTGAATTTGTTCTGTGCCATTTGGGGCGTGAATTTCTTTTGGATTGTACGTTAGTACAACAATCTAGATGCAAACTCTCAGAAATTATTTCTAGACCTGAAATAAGCATCTATGAGAGCATTTAAAATATGATTCAGTTGCTAAACCTCAGCTGTATGGCGGTCTCTGTGCATTTGTGTGGACCTAGACAAGTCCCTTGAACCTGAGTCCATGCTGCTAGCTGAAATGCAGAATGGCAACATAATACATTGTGAAGTTTAGTTCAGGATGTCTTTTTAGGAGGGTGCCAAGATGCTGATCCATTCCAGTGTCCACCTTTCTTCATGGTCTTTGTTAGAATTCTGTCTTTCCTACAGTTTTGTGCAGCAGAAAAAGTGTTGTATTTGAGACAATGCAAGTCTCAAATATAATTTCTTTAATTGCAAGGAAGATGAAAAGGAAGTTTGCTTTTGGAGTGGATAAAGTTGTGGTTGAAAGTAATGATTTTAATAGGTCTATCTGGAAATGCTTTGAAATTCCACACCTGTTGGTGCCCCTTCCCCACCCTCAACAGTTATTTCACCTGTGAGAACAAATGGAAATCTTTTTAGGGTTTTCTCCAGAGCGTACGTGTTTGCAATTCCGCATACTTGTTTAAAGTAACTTCTGCTGAAACCTTGCATCCCTGTCTGCTTGGAATTCCACAGAGGGCTTACTGCACACTGAAGTGTGCATAGGTATTAGAAAAGGCTAATTTATGATCATATTTTTAAAGCTATCATTTTGTTAGACATATGGTTCTTACAAGGGAGAGGAATGGGCATCCCTGTCTGTCTCTCTGAAAAGTTGTGTTTCATTGGATTTAGCTGCACAAACCAGAAAGCATGTGCGCTGGAAAATGCATGCAGGTCTTGTGGCACTGGGGTTGTAAGGTGTAGAACTACCTTGAGGCAGTCTATACCTGTTATTCTGGTAGAATAAAACTGTTGCTTACTTCTGCTTTATTTAAAACCTTTCAGATTATCTGGACATCTGTGTAAAACTGATGGCTATTTTGAAGGACTGGTGGCTGTCAGGGACCACACAAATACCAAGGGAGCTATTGCATTCACCTTGCTGAGTTTCTTTTTTTACAAGCCACAGGCTAAAAGCCAGCATCAGGCTCCTTTAGGTTTTGAAATGCTGCCAAGTGGTGGTTGTGAGGATGGCTTTCAACATTTCTATAAATGTAAGAACATATTTTAAAATTTATATAAATATATTTTTAAATCCTTCAAAGAATTTGTTTATACTTCTATAGAAAGGAAGTCTAGATAGATGAGGGCAGGAGAAAAAGGCAGAAGACTCTGATTTTGTTTTTAATTTCCCTGTTGTTATTTTTCTGGGGTCTTACCTGACTGAAGTGCCAGAAGTCTGGCTCTAACCTGGAAGTTCAGGTGATAAGCTATTGCTTCTTGGACTCCCCAGACAGGTAGAATAGATGTGCTATTGAAAGCATTTTGATTCTGAAATTTCCTTCCTGTATGTTAATTTCTCATTCCCTTGACTCTTCTTTTCTTGGTTAGTCAAGCAGAGGTATCAAAATACAGCTAAAGAATACCCAAACTACTACTGTAAAAAAAGCAAGGAGGAGAAATGTTCACTTTCTATAAGTTAATATTTAACAAAATCAAATACTTCAGCTCACCACTGCAGTTTTAGTCTGGAATACTCAAAGTATTTTTGCTTCTTCAGTGAAAATAGGAGAATTTGGCTGCAAAATATCTTTATGGATCTAATTCAAAGTTATCTAATTACACCTTAGTACTGAGAGGCACTAGCCTAAAGGTTTTGTTTCATACTTGAGTAATAAAGTTGTTTGACTTCAGCAATGAAAATACGGAGCTGTTTGTTCTCTGTCAGTCCTAGTGTGTGCAAAACCCCCATCATCTCTTTCTTTTCTCTCGAGGTCATGAAACGCGTACGCACAGAACAGATTCAGATGGCAGTGTCCTGCTACCTCAAGCGCCGTCAGTACGTGGACTCAGAAGGTCCCCTAAAGCAAGGCCTGAGGCTGTCTCAGACTGCTGAAGAGATGGCAGCTAATCTCACAGGTAATCCTATAGTATTTTCCACGTGTGCATCTTGGCAGAGTTGTGACAAGTGTGTATTGGTAACTACATGAATTTGTCTGCGTGACTGGACAGCTCTTCTTTTCAAATGAAGTAGTTTCCTAGTGTAAAGCTGGCAGGAGTTAGGAACTTCTGAAGAATTAAGCATGTCTGGAAGTGTAACAAGGTGAGATTTATGATCAGTGAATCAGTAGGCTGAAATACCGGTCAGAATAGTGGAAACTGTGTGTGTTGTATCCCCAAAGAACATGAAGTCTAGTGAGTAGGGGTGCTTTGGGATGGAGATGAGAAGGGCCTGGATGAGGGATGAAGCAGAGGCAGGAAAATCTGTTGTACCTTTGTACTCCAGGAGAGCTATATCCTGTGAAATGAAAATGGTATGGGCTGCTCTTTTCTCTGGCCTAGTCAGCTTTCTAGTTGTGAAAGCTCTGCTCTGTCGCTTGAAAAAGATGTTCCTTCAGTTGATGAGACAGTTTATTTCCCTAC